CCCCACACACACTTCCTCCCCCGACGCCCAGCAGTGACGGAGTCCACCGCTCAGGAGAGGAGACGTCCCTTTTTTTTGATTTTTTTTTTAAATATCACATAGCAATGCAATTTAAAATGTCACCCAGATGTTTTTTGTTTTTTTAACATTACTCAACTACTGATATAAGTTTTACTCTCTCTCTTTTTTGTTGTTGTATATTTTAAGTCCTGTGGAGCCGTTTTTTTTTTTGGAGAGACCGGGGCAGCAAATATATATTTTTAAAGTCTTAATTTTTCTGCAAGCTGCTTTCTATAACAAGAAGGCTGTACATGTAGCCTTGATGTATGTGGTTACAAAAAAACTAAGAAGGAAGTCATGATTTCATCAGTCGCTGTAGAAGGCATTTGAATGAGACGTGGTGAGATCAGGAGAGGTGGAAGGACTGCTGGCCCTCTCGAGCCGCGATCAACAGTTTCTCTCGCATTATGTCAATGCTGGAGTAGTCAGGCAGCTTCAGGTAGTTGACACACGTCATCACCGAGGGGAGGAAGTCGTCCGGGTTCTCCGTCGACTCGAACGTCTTCCTCACGATCGTCAGAGGGGGGTTCAGGCTCCGGAAACCTGAGGCACAGCAGCAGGTGTGAGGCACTGATATTACATTTAAAAACACACATGGCTTGATGTCTAATACATTCATATAAGCTCAGATAACGTGTTTGTTGTTTTGAAGTAAGTGTAAGTGAGTGAGTGAGTGTGAGTGTGTGTGTGTGTGATAGGATTGGATAATTCATTGGATGTCAATAGCAATTCCAAATTGGCTCCCTGCAATGAAATGACCATGATCCAATGAGATATTAAACAAATAGTTACACGGCCAAGGTGAACACTTGATTCTGATTGGTCCGTAGAGTGCCACAGTGACGCGTCCTAAAACCCGGAAGTAAACTCCTTCCGGTTCCTTCGACAAAAACCAATGCAATTTCTCCATAAGATTTTGGAAAATAGCTGTAAATAAGGTCTGTGGTCTAGACACATTTAAGAGACGGATCACGTTTTGTTCAGCCAGATAATATCCACATGTCTACACTACTTTTATAATTTTCTAATCCTAAATCTAGTCACCAGAAGCAAAATGCTAACGTTATGCTATAAACGAACTACAGCAGGGTCGCTGCTTCAACGTCACGCCAACTTAAGATCCATATTCAAACATACAGATTCTAAATGGTACAAGTTGAAGCGTTTGTTTGAACAGTCTGCAGGAGGCAGGTACTTGCTTTCAAGCAGAACAGGGCAAACAAACTTAAGAGTGTTTACGTGTTCGGTGTAATGACGTACAACGGCCTCGACAACTTCTGAAGTCCTATTCAGCCACTCGGTAACAACCATCGTTTTTCAGACACGTCAACTCTTCAGAAATCACCAGTGGGGTCACTGCTGATGGATTTAATGTCGTAGAACAAAACGTGATCCGTCTCTTAAATGTGTTTCAACCACAGACCTTATTTCAGATATTTTCCTAAATCCTATGGAGAAATCCCATTGGCTCCGAGGCGAGGGAACCAGAAGTGGTGAAATGATGACTCACTTCCGGGTTTTAGGACGCGTCACTGTGGCACTCTATATGGTCAATTTAGATATTTCGGATCAATTTTGTTGCTAACCGACCGCTCTGATCAAGGAACTATGTGCAGTCTGCAGTACGTTTCAGTGTTGTATGAATGAGAAAGATTTGCAAATTAGCAGGCATGTAGCACGCCATTAAAGTGAAGGCTTTTAAATTAAGTCTGGGTCATAGTTTAGCGTCTAGGAGTTGCACGGTGGTCAGGTTAAGTATCATTTTGAAGCAAAGATTTGAACATAAGCACAACAATGGAGTGAAAGAGTGCTATTCTCCATAAAATGTGAAATTGCAGTTTTATGAAATGTTAAATGGTGTAGCTCCTAAAATGTGTAAATAATCTCAGTATTGATCCAAATGATCGGGACATGTGAATGTGTGCGAGGTGACTCACCACCGACGGGCAGTCTGGGGCTTCCTGTGACAAACTGCAGGAAGAGTCTCTGCTGCTCGGCGTCGAAGCTGCTTAGCACCTCGAACAGGAACCGTACGGCGCGGCTGCAAAACACGGAGGAAATACACATTAAACTCCAGAAAGGTTTGCTTATACACACCGTGTGTTATTTAGGGAGTCTGAAAAATGTGCCTGGATCATTAAAAGGACCCTCTGATAAATAAAATGGAGTTTGGTCCCACCTGTCGTGTGTGTAGCCGTGGTCCGGTCGACAGCACTCCATCAGCGTCTTCACGTCCCACGTCTCTGATTTGCTGCCACACAGCAGCTGATCCAGCTACGGCAGGAAAGGAGGGACAATCAACAATCAGAGAAGACAAAAAGGGGCCAAAACTATCCAACTATCCTGTGGCAGAAGGTTCAACAGCTTGAAAAAAAGCTATTTCTCCTTACTAGGCAAAACATTGTGTTTAACCAGTTGAGCCAGTTTTTCAGGTCTCAGGCTTGAAAATGACATTCCAAGAACAAATGACTATAACAGGGGTAAATTAATAATCTTTTATTAATTGGAATTGGTGAGTTGGATGTAGAAAAGTCAGAATCAATATAGATGTTTTTATTTTAAAGTAAATTCAGATTGAACGTAGTAAACATTTTTTAATTATAGTGTTACTAATTACTTAGTGAAAACCACCCTTGAATGATGGGATAGTAGACTAAAAGCTTTAGGAATCTAAATTATAACATATAATAAGTACTCTGTATCAAGATTGATGCAAAACAAGTGACATTTGAACTTTTTAGAGAGGTTTAGCACAAAAAACCCACTTCTGGGGTCATTTGGGTGGATTTTCCATATCTCTTGGTCGATTTTGATGATTGACATATCTTTTTAACCGTTAGAGCCAATAGAATCGAGGGGAAGTTCCTCAAATCCATCTGAACATTACCCATTGGTGAATGAGTGATGCGCAGCCAGAATGCCCAAGACAGGAAGCTACGATACTCTCTAGTAACTATCGTAGCAGCTAATAGGAAATCTCCGTTTTTGACATAAAAATGGAATGATGGATTATCAGTAATCATTTCAAAGTGACACAGACACATTGGATTAACCATTGGATTAACCTTTAGCCGCGTTTTTATCGTTTTAATGCCATTGAACACGACTTTTGATCAGAATAACAGCTAAGGTGAGACGACCTCCCTTGAATGCTCCGTAATGCTATACGTGTTGTGATCTATGTGTTTGCTTCCCCTGTCACGAGTTCTGATCGCTCAGTGATGATACTAATACCTATAGAATCTGTGGAATCCCAGCTTTAATCTGATATCTTCTATGTGCAGTTACGATAAGTAATAAGGGTATTTTTACCTTGAGTTCTGTGCTAAGTGTGTTAGCATTTTTTCCCTCAGGGCTCATTTAGACGCTTCTTGTGAGACTTGTGTTTTGTTTCGGTAAAGATTGTTCGTATTGTCAGTTAGCCTAGTTTCTTCCCGTTAAATGGTTATGACACATTAATAGGTTTTTATATATTAAGAAGCCCTGAGACACAGTTTCGTGAAAAAACACCCTGCAGCCAGGGGGCTCTCGGGCTTAACAGGTTCATAAACAGCTAATTTACCCAGGGTTCATAGCTGCTTTATGACTCTGCAGAGGCCTGTAAACACCATGTGAGTGAAGGCCCACTCAGCTCAGATCCTCCCCTTTGTCAAATCCACAGTTGTTATAGTTGTTTCTTGTCAAAACGTTGTTAAAGTAAAGCTGAAACACTAATATATATCCATATGTTCCCTTACATTCATTTAAAGTGTTTGTCAATGGCAGTTACGACAGCTTTTCACATCGATGAATTCTATCCTACAGAAGGAATTGGAGCTGAGCTATGAAAACTAGCTGACTAATTCAGAGTACTCTCATTACTGGTTTAAATTCCTACGCCTCCTCTGAGCGTGCCACAATTTAAAAACTCATGATTTTGTTCCAACGTTGGAAACTTGACGTCAAAAGTCATAGTACTTGGTTGGTTGACACATAATGAGGTTGTGTAAAACAACGGCTCAGTCATTACACACACACAGGAAGTGGCTGTCATTGTAAGAGTGCACAGAAATACAGATATAGACACTTTGAGCACACACACAGGCAAATGTTATACGAGCAACTACTTTGTTGATTCATAACAGCAACATGTATTTATCTAATTCATAGGGAGAAGCACTGGAAACGATTCAAGAAGAAATTAATGAATACATTGTTTCGTTTAGCATTTCAAATCCGTAAACCACTTCATGCCTATATTCAAAAAGTAAGAAGCTCTCAGGTTTTTCCGTGAAAGTTAAAAACAGACAATCCTATCCTCCCCCATGACCGCATACTCACGTGTCAAGGACATTTGTGGAAAGTCATTTTCAAAAAACATCAACTTTTTCTCTGCTACTCACATTCTCTGTTTGCAGCAGATGTATCCATTTTGTAATGTCATTTTTCTCATCTGCGCAGCGCTTTATTCAACTCCTACTTCTGCATTTAGCCCCAAAAGTAGAGCGCTGTGTTATCAGACATAAAACAGAAAAAGGAACTGCTGCCCTGTTGCAGAGACGAGCTGAGAATACTGCTGTTGTCGCAGGGCATGTCAGTAAAGAACGCAGGAATCCCTAACGGAGGTTTCCTTTTCTCTTTTCAGACCAGCTTTAAGCTACGCAGTTTAGAGGAAAACATATGTGGATGAGCAGAAACTAACTAAGAGATGATTGGGTGATATGAAGTGGGTAAATACATGCAGAGATGGGAAAGCAGAGAGACAACTGTTCAGAGATGAACACACATTTACAAAAATCCTCTCAAATGTGCTCAAAAAACCATTATGAACATTGGGCAGTGAAGAGGACTTTAAGTAAAGTAATGTCTTCTTTCACCTCTAGATTTTGTTAGACGTTCATGTATGATATTCAGAGGTGAAAGGAGTACTCATGCCGCGTACTTTAGGTAAAAGTAGAAGTACCAGAGTGTAGGAATAGGCTACTCTGTCACAAGTGAAAGTCCATGCTTTTTAAAATGTTACTCAAGAAAAAGGACAAACGTATTAGCATCAAAATCTAGCCTACTTAAAGTACAAAAAGTTAAAGTATTCATTGAGAAGATTAGAAATAAAATACTTAAGTAAAGTACAAGTACCTCAACATTCTACTCATTGCTATCAGGATGTTAAGAGCATTCATAGAATATAACAAAAAGTGTTTCTGAAGTGAGTTACCCACCTTTAACCTTTGTAAGGAAGCAAATCAACAAATTATTTTACTGCCTTAAATAAAACAAGTTACAACGCTGTCAGAGTGCAGCATCTTTCACTTGAACTGGTACAGTACTTGAGTAAATGTTACTTTACACTACTGATAATATATGAATGCTCAAACATGTGTTCTTCTTACCAATCATATATTTTTTGTATGAATTGTTGTTGTGATTATTTCCCCTGCACTCCTGCCTCCAGAAGTACTTATGAGGTTAATAAGTTATTACTTAAACAATAATGATGCAATGCAGAGGTTATTATGTAGTATTATAGAGTAGATATATTTATAGTCTTGAAGTGAGAAGCGGCTCTTTGAGGGCAACCATAACGCTAATGTGGCCCG